ATGAGCCCCAACCGACTCAGAGGCCCCAGCAACAATCATACTAAACAAAAGCACACATTATAACCTCGTCCCTTCCACTGCTAACTAAATCACAACTCTGTTTTCCTTTACTCTAGCATCATCAAACCATTACTGGTAACCGAGGAATACACATCGTTTACTCATGGCTTTTATTCCTCGTGTCTAGAGCCTCGGTCATCTTAGCTTATTCCTGGCACAGTCTCAGTATTTTATCTAGTGTTGTATCTAGAGCTCTAAAAAATCTAATATTACTATTGTGCTTCCATCTAAAGTTCTGTTCTGTTTTTAAGTTGGCTTTATTTGGCTTTGCATTACTTTCATAATTCATTCCTAGCAAATCATTCACTTTTAAGAGGTATTATAATTACAAAGTCATCATAGCCGTTTTGTCATTTATAGATAAGTTTTACTTTACATGACAAAATATTTCAGCAAAAACAGACTATGTCAGAATTATGAAGAGGATCCCATCTGAAAAATGGATACCGTTGGTCTAAGTCAAACTTCCTAGAACTCTCACATAGAAGATGATGGAGTTTTTATATAAGTACTGATCCAAAATTGTGTAGGACCAAAATTATCTAAGACTGAGAAATGTAAAAAAAATTATTTTTCACAAGGTGTGTATAAGAATATTGCTTAAAATGATCTTTTAATTAATTCAAAGAATATCGCTGGTGCTCGAGAGTCTATTGGCCAGCCAGATTCCTGGCCATCAAGTGAATCCTGACCTACAGTGACCCTGTGCAGAGAGTTGAATCGCTTTCTTGGGATTTCGAATCTGTCCGCGTTTTGGAAGGGCACGCTCCTTTTCTTTCTGTCGTCTGGCTGTGGGTTGGAGCTGCTGACTGCCAGCCAGCAGCCCACGGTGAACCCACGAAGCCGCCAGGGCTCCTTGGTCTAGTTGTCGGGAAACATTCGGTTTGTATTTCCATAAAATAATCACCAAATATTTGTTTTGTACCTCAGATAGGATTAAATAATTTAACCTTGCACTCCAAGAAATAAATACTGAGATAACTATAAAATAGTTCTTAAAAGCCTTATAGTCCTCACTTATTCTGACAATCTTCTTTAATATAAAATATATTTCCTACAGGTTAACAAAACCCTTGATAAACAAAAACGAGAATCTACGTAACACATCCCCAGAAGAACTTATAAAAGACAAGTGACACCAAGCAAAAGACATTAGAGTTTCTCTGGGAGAGGCTGTACTTCATCCTTCTCACGAACTCTTGTGCTGTTAAATGACAGGAAATTAAACTTTGGATCCATCTGACTCAGCAGAAAAAGGTTACAGTCTATGCCTGGTCTATTAAACCTAACGAAGCGTGTTCAATAAAGTTCAAATGCCCTATGGACAGAGCCGATGATAATTGAAGTAGATCACATGATCTGCAAGCA